TTAGTCATCCAATCTGTCATTTATATACACGTTAAGACTGGTCCATTACTGTTTAGTCATCCAATCTGTCATTTATATACACGTTAAGACTGGTCCATTACTGTTTAATCATCCAATCTGTCATTTATATACACGTTAAGACTAGTCCATTACCGATTAGTCATCCAATCTGTCATTTATATACATCTTAAGACTGGTCCATTACTGTTTAGTCATCCAATCTGTCATTTATATACACGTTAAGACTGGTCCATTACTGTTTAGTCATCCAAGTTCTTAGACATTATGAGTGGCATCAGTAAGATGTTTTTATCCATAATGATAAAAATCACCTATTTTTCTGGAGGGATTTATCTCCATTTTTGAACTTAGTATGCTAAACTTCTGTCATTTTGATGTAATCCTTGCTACTTAAGAGTTTGGAAAGCCCATTCAGGAAGAATTTTAATACAGACTGAGTTTCTTGGTATTATATCATCATTACTCTGTATGTATTTTGTAAATGAGTATTGTTTTTTGTAATTAGTTTTTAATTCACTTTGTAGATTAATTGGTTAAATATTAGTCAATATGTTAAGAGCAAGATACAAAAACACTGTTTTTAACACAATGAAGGATAATTTCAGCTGACTAGTTTGGGTAACACAGCTAGTAGTTGTCTGAAATTTTTAATAAAGGTTTTATCTTTCAGTATGTCAATAAAACTTTTTTTAAAACTTTTAATATAGTTGCACAATGTGCCTTAAAAGGAATTATAAGTCGGTATAGCCTAAATGTTTTTTTGTGAACTAACCCTTTTTCCAGCCTAAAATATGCATTCACTTTGAAAAAACAAAAATTTATCACTGACATTCATTAAAATAATTTAAAAAATGATCATACCACAAATTTGTATGCTAAAAGTTTGTTTGAAATATTAAAAAAAAATGTTCCTTATATGTGAAACTACACAAAGTTAATGGTTTATGTGATTTTGTGCAGGTTGAGTTTGGAGGTCATGACCTTGACCCCTCGATGTGAGCATGTAGAAACTGCACAAGGTGTTCCACTTACGGTTACGGGTGTTGCTCAGTGTAAGGTCATGACAGAAAAGGAATTCCTTTCTACAGCAGCCGAGCAGTTTCTGGGTAAAAATGTTGATCACATCCAGTCTGTCATCTTGCAGACTTTAGAGGGACACTTGCGGGCTATCCTCGGTAAGTTAGATAAAGTTTAATATTGACCTATAAGAAGTTAAATTACATTATTACATTCCAGGTAAGTTTATCGTAGTTAGAGTTTGTATGTAGGACTTGTTATATTTACATTATATTATTTTGTCAAATCACTTAATAGGAGACTTTGAAGTTACTGAGATACTTTAGTATTGAGACTCCTCTTAAAACCCGAATTATTTTTATCACACTTGTAATTAAAGAGTTTGTAAGAAATTAAAACTTGCATGTGTGAATTATTTTTCATACGAAGGTTTGATGTAAGCCCTAGTCTTGCAACATAAGTTTTCAACAGTGACACATGTGTGAATTATTTTTCATACCAAGGTTTGATGTAAGCCCTAGTCTTGCAACACAAGTTTTCAACAGTGACACGTGTGTTAATTATTTTTCGTACCAAGGTTTGATGTAAGCCCTAATCTTGCAACATAAGTTTTCAACAGTGACACAAACGAAACTACAAGTTATAGCACAGTTTGAAAACAACTCTCAAAAAAAATATTAAAAGAAAATCTCAACTTATACTTTAGGTTTTGGTTCTTAGTATTGATCGTTCCTTCAATACCAGAAGTTCTAAAGATGATCGTATCCTGTTAATAAAGTCTTAGCAGTCTGTTTTTTTCACCAAAATTGGGATTTTTATATAAAGAAAATTCTATAAATAGTGTTTTTATTAACATTTAAATATTAAACTTTACTTAATTGTTGATTATAATGTCTATAATAAGATTTAATCTATAGTTAACTTTTGTTCAGTTAAAAACTTACTTTTCTTCGTTGGCTTAGAGTACGATATGGATACAGAAGGAACCTCAAAGCTCTCGGGAAATATTATTTGAATTATGGTAATCAGTGATAAAATGGTTATGCCGGTTTACTTTGTGTAACCATAATCTCACTTCATCCTTTCTCACACTTAACCTAGTCATTTCCAGTTTGGCTCTAAAGAAAGGTCTACTTTTTAATGTTGCTTGGGTTATAGGGTTTCCAATTTTGTCTTTCTTTTGGTTTTTTGGAACCTACATATTTTCTTAACTTCATGAATTAATAACCGGAGTACCCAGTTGGTGATTCAGTTTAACGTTTTTAGGTTTTTAATTTTCTCTTAAATTGAGTCACTATGCTTGACCAGCTTTATTAATGTATAATTACCATTATGTTTTGATCTAGTTACGATATTTCGTAGCAGAAGTGCTTAATAGTTACAGTAATGTTCTTATACTTGCGATAAAGCTCCATCAGTGTGTGAAATAAACCACAAAGGTACCATTTTATTAGTGTTATTGTTTTGATAGAAAGGAGATGAACACAGCTAACATGCCCAAACTGTGAATCTGAGGGTTCCTGGTTTGCACCCTGTTGCCACAAAACTACTCTCCTTACTTTTGAGTTTTGGGTGGACTGTGGGAATGATGGTCAAATCCCACTGTTTGGTCAGTCAATAGTAGGCCGAGAGGTGGTGATGGGTGCTGTTGACCAGCAAAAATTACAAAAAAATCCTAATATTTTGTTATTTTTTGTTGTAAGTTTTCCAGTGAATGGCACAATTATTATAGGACTTTCCACAAACATTATTGTAGATGATCTGTTTTAAGAAAGATTCTCCGTAGAGATTTAAAAAAAAATGATATAGTTTTCAGTATATCAGAATCTAATAAGGAGTATTTATTTATTTATTTTCTAGGTACTTTATCGGTAGAGGAAGTGTACAGGGATCGAGATCAGTTTGCCTCTCTTGTGAGGGAGGTTGCATCCCCAGATATTGGTAGAATGGGCATTGAAATTCTCAGTTTCACCATTAAGGATGTTTTTGATCGAGTCGAATATCTCGAATCTCTTGGAAAGTCTCGAACTGCAGCGGTAAAGAGAGATGCAGATATTGGAGTTGCTCAAGCAGAGAGAGATGCTGGAATACAAGTAATTGTGTTACGAAGGTGTTTAGTAATTAAAAGAAATTAACTAAAAGAACACGGTTCTGTAAATTACTTTCTAAAATGTTTTACATTTTTAACTTGATAAGAAAACATCTGTACGGTTCTGTAAATTACTCACTAAAATGTTTTACATTCTTAACTTGATAAGAGAATATCTGTACGGTTATGTAAATTACTTACTAAAATGTTTTACATTTTTAACTTGATAAGAAAACATCTGTACGGTTATGTAAATTACTAAAATGTTTTACATTTTTAACTTGATAAGAAAACATCTGTACGGTTATGTAAATTACTAAAATGTTTTACATTTTTAACTTGATAAGAAAACATCTGTACAGTTCTGTAAATTACTTACTAAAATGTTTTACATTTTTAACTTGATAAGAGAATATCTGTACGGTTATGTAAATTACTTACTAAAATGTTTTACATTTTTAACTTGATAAGAGAATATCTGTACGGTTATGTAAATTACTTACTAAAATGTTTTACATTTTTAACTTGATAAGAGAATATCTGTATGGTTCTGTAAATTACTTACTAAAATGTTTTACATTTTTTTAACTTGATAAGAGAATATCTGTACGGTTCTGTAAATTACTTACTAAAATGTTTTACATTTTTTTAACTTGATAAGAGAATATCTGTACGGTTCTGTAAATTACTTACTAAAATGTTTTACATTTTTAACTTGATAAGAAAACATCTGTACGGTTCTGTAAATTTCTTACTAAAATGTTTTACATTTTTAACTTGATAAGAGAATATCTGTACGGTTCTGTAAATTACTTACTAAAATGTTTTACATTTTTAACTTGATAAGAAAACATCTGTACGGTTCTGTAAATTACTTACTAAAATGTTTTACATTTTTAACTTGTATAAATAAAAGATCTGTACGGTTCTAGTAAATTACTTATAGCAACTAAATTTACCTAATTAGTGATTAACTTTAAAATTTTACTAATAAAAATTA